CAGACTACCTTCGATCAGGTCGCCACTCACGCCTGTGAAGAGTAATCTTCCGATCTCCAACGCATTCCTCCTTAACATTCAAGGAATGAATCCTGGCATCACCAACCAGCGATGGAAAGTGAAAGCCCTCCAAGAGTCTATCAGCTCCAACCCGATCCACACTCCTTTCTTCACCTTGACAGAAACCCACCTCAAGTCCTATCACTTAGATGCGGAGGTTCACATCCCAGGTTATACCTGCTACCGAGCGGATCGTACCAGTCGAGCTTGTGGTGGAGCCGCTACCTATCTCCATAACTCCATCACAGTAGAAGAAACTAAGTCCTTCTCAAACTCCTACTGTGAACTCGTCGCCATCTACAGTAAAGAAGCTAACATCGTGATAGCGGGCATTTACCGGCCCCCTTCAGCTCCTTTTGACAAGTTTGATGAATGCCTCTCTACCCTCCAACAGTTCATCAACGGAATTCAACGCACCCCTGTACTGCACATTACAGGAGATTTCAACCTACCCTTCATCAACTGGACGAATTCTTCTATCGACACAGGATGCAGTATCTCCCTTTCAGACCGTCAATCAGCCCTAGCACTTCTGAACTTCAATGAAGAATGCCTGCTCCAACAAGAGGTCTTCGAGCCAACTCGCAAGAGCAACATCTTAGATCTCGTTTTCTCAAACGACTCTGACTCGATCCATAGTATCTCTGTTACCAAGACAGAGTTATCAGATCATGACATTGTGAGCTGCACTCTCCTCAATCCTGAACTCCTCCTCCCCTCGCAGACTCCGGAACGGCCAGTCTTCACCCCCTCCTGCCTCCTTGATGACATTAACTTAAACTCTGCAGACTGGGATGCTATTAATGCAGAACTGCTAGAAGTAGACTGGGCTTCTATCACTGACCCAAGCAACGATCAGGATACAGCTTGGACATTGTTTGAAGACAAGGTAGCGTTCATATGCTCTAAGCACGCTCCCTCGCACAGCACTAACATCCAATTGTCCTCACAATCCTCCATTCCCAAGCCCAGAAGGGAACTTATTCGTAAGAAGCGCCGCCTTAATGCCAGGATCAATGCTATAAAGCATGGTGTCAGAACTCCACGGAACAGCACTAAACTCGATAACCTCAACAACGAACGTGCTAACATCGAAATTCTTATGAAGGAAGACATCAAACAAGAACGGCTCCGACAGGAAATTGCTGCGCTAGCTAAGATGAAGATCAATCCCAAGGCGTTTTACTCTTACGCTAAGAAATCGGCTAAGTTCAAGGCGCCTGTTGGACCTCTCGCCGATGATGCTAACAACCCGCAGTGCGATCCCACTGTTATGGGCAACATCCTCCAGAAGCAGTACCAGAAAGCCTTCAGTAACCCTGAAAACGTCAACCCCGATAACACCCCTGACGAAAAAGGGCATACAGAAGAACTCTCCGACATCACCTTCTCGGTTGACGACGTCCTTAGTGCTATCAAGGAAACAGGGAGGTTCTCCGCTCCAGGACCAGACAAGTTCCCTGCTCTCATCTTGCGGGAATGCAAGGACGCTCTAGCTCCCACTATAGCCAAGCTCTGGCAGCTATCTTTTGATACTTCGGACATCGCTGAGATGTTCCGCTCCCAGAGTATCATCCCTATCTTCAAGAAGGGGAGCAAGGCTGTAGCCGCTAACTAAAGGCCGGTTTCACTGACTTCTCACCTCATCAAACTCTGTGAACGCATCATGCGCAACCAGATGGTCAGCTTCCTTGAACGCAACAACATGTTCAACCCTGATCAGCACGGTTTCCAAAAAGGCAAGAACTGCCTCACCCAGCTTCTCCATCACATCGAGGATATAATCTGCGATCTCAACCTCGACAAAAATGCTGACGTGCTCTACCTCGACTTCAGCAAAGCCTTTGATAAGGTTGACCACAAGATACTCCTCAAGAAGATTCAGGCCTTTGGTATCCGTGGTAAGCTCTACGACTGGATAGCCAGCTTTCTTACTGGCAGAAAGCAGCATGTTATCGTGGATGGGGTCATGTCCACAATCATCGACGTCATCAGTGGGGTTCCTCAGGGTACTGTCCTAGGTCCCCTTCTCTTCCTCATCTACATTGACGACATCTTCTCCGTAGTCAAGCACAGCAAGATCAAAGTGTTTGCAGATGACTCGAAGCTCCACAAAGATATATCTTCCCATATCGATCGCATCCTTCTCCAAGAAGATCTTCTCTCGGTTGTGAATTGGGCTGATGCTAACAACATGGAGCTTAACGAGGAAAAGTTCCAGCTTCTACAACACGGCAAACTACCGGACTTGAAGCAGCCCTACATCTTACCATCTGGAGAGACTCTTAAGGGCTCTGACCACGTGAAGGACCTGGGTGTCTATATCGACCCAGACCTCAACTGGCGCACTCACATAGCGATGAAGTCTGCCAAAGCCAGAAACATGGCTAGTTGGGTGCTACGCACCTTCATCTCCAGGGATGTAGCGACCATGATGCTCCTGTACAAGTCCTACGTACGATCTCATCTTGAATACTGCTGTCCTCTGTGGTCTCCTCACATGCAGTGCGAAATTATTAAACTCGAAGCAGTTCAACGATCCTTCACTGCTAAAATCCAGGGTCTTGGAAATCTCAACTACTGGGAACGCCTCCGTCGCCTGTCTATGTACTCCCTTCAAAGGCGGCGTGAGAGATACACTATCATCCTAGTTTGGAAGATCTATAACAATCTCGCTCCAAACAGCATGAACATCAACTTCCGCGAGACCTCACGATACGGAACTACGTGTATACGACCACTAGGGTCCTCCAAGTACACAAGTGTCAATAACCTGAGGTTCAACTCCTTTGCCTCTAGAGCCTCTGCACTGTACAACGTGGTCCCTCCCGCCATCAAGTCCCTCCTGACCTTGACCACTTTCAAACCCGCTCTTGATGCTTTCCTCAATGAATTCCCTGACACTCCACCAACACCTGGGTACACTGGACAGAACAGGAACTCAATGGTGGAGTGGGCCGGTGGCACGTGCCTCTGACACGCTACTACATGGCGGTGGAGATGCAAGACATTCTTGGCCTGGTAGCACTCTAGCTCGGAACCCAACCCAAGTAACCCAAGTAAGTAACAATTGTCCGAGTAACTTTATTATAATGCAACCATCGAAACCTGATCATATAAAACATTATACATATAACTATATAATACTAAAATTATGATTGATACACGGCACTCCTCAATTATTACTAATTTCCAGTTCAACCTGAATGTATTTATTAATTAATCCAGAATACTCTTCAGATGTCATGTCCTCACATTAAAAGCGAAGTGAAGGCCGAAGAAGAGGATTTGAGAAGCAAAATTGGAGGTTTTCTGTGTCCAGCATGTGGTGAACAACTTTTCTACGAGAAGTATTTCCTTGAACATATATCAGGGAACGTATAAACGTCATTATAAGCCTGACCTACGAGTACAAGATGAGGAGCACAGTTTGTTACATGAGTTTGCTGGAGGTTCTGTTCATGAAAATAGTCATGTTACACAACAAGATGGTTGTTGTGTTCAAAATAAATGCGATGTTGTTAAATCAGAAGTAAAAACTGAGCAGAGTGAATTCAATGGAGAGGCTGGAGGTTTTCTCTGCTCAGTTTGTGGGGAAACATTTCTGGAGGGGGACAGTTTTATTAAGCATATCAATGATCACTTTAATAATTCTAGCAAACGAAAAAGACCACTATCATGTGCTGAATTTCAAAATGACAGTGATAATATAGGATCTGGGATGAGTAATAAATCAGACAATTCTACTGTTTCTCAGGAGATTCACAATTCTCCTGAAGATATTCGTGCCGGTAAAAAGCAGTTGAAAAGTCCTGATTTTTCATATTCAACTACACGAAAAAGAGCTCTTCAATATCACTTAAAAACTCACTCCGGAGCGAAACCGTTCAAATGTTCAGATTGTCCGTATACAACAGCTAAAAAATCACACCTTAAACGACATAAGTTTTAAACTAATTACAACACTACAAATCTATTACATTTATTGAGAAAATTATGTAATGTAACGCGATGGAAGTTCTTTAAGCGGGCAATTCCAGTCCAAACCCTGGAAACATGACATAAAAGATTCGTTTTTACTTGTTTGAATGAAAAGCACTAATATGAGTACTCACTCGGGAGAGAAACCATTCAAATGTCCAGATTGTCCCTATGCAGCAGCTCTGAAATCACACCTTAAAAAAGATATTTTGAATGTATTGTTTTTGTATATTAGAGCTTTAACCACAGCTACAGGTAGGTTGGTCTGCACGGAGCCCCACAGTTTCAATTCCTTGTTTAACTAGCCGCACAGTGAGGATATCCATTGTGTTCACCAGGTTAGGCACATAACCAACACTACCCTGCCAAAGTCAGCTATATACTATGGTTTTCTCGAAAGTATTTTCTTGTATTTGACTTTCGTCAAGAAAGTACTGTTACTTTCGGTTCAGATGTATAAGCTAGCCTTTATGTGGTCCACAGGCCAGATGAACCCCCACACTCTTCTCACTCAGCTACGAAGTACGAACTGAGATCCATTTCTGGTATTAGCAAAGCTTATTTTATCAAATAGTTTGATACAATTATTTCTCGCGATAAGAGACTTCCCCTAACCAGAATCAGCGTAAAATTGGACGAATTAGGTGATTTTAAAGGATACGCCAGTAAAATATATAAAAAAGTGCGTTTCTAAAGCAAAACTTGTAGTTTTGCTAGTACATAAGTTAAGTTTTTGAACATTTTTCCACATTCGAATGTGCCCCCCCCCCCCTGCAGGGTCAGTGGGCCATAATAATGGTTGCTCAGAAATGATGGCCTATAACATTGTTTTTACTGTCTATCTACCAAATGCAACTTCTAAAAGTGTTGAATTTGCAGTAGTTAATAAGTGTTTTCAGATATTGCTGTGTACAGTGTACAAATGTAACTAATCACATACCAATTCTCTCCCTGTAGCTATGCCAATATGCTCAGTCAGTTCCCGTCAATGCTATGATGATGGAAAAGAGTTTGCAGAACAGGCTCTGGTCTTTGACCAGGCTGGTGATATTGCAGCTGCTATCTTCTACTACACTGAAGCTGCTAATGTGCTCCTTACAGCCATCAATGTAGACGCAAGGTTTGCTTTCTTTATTTATACTGTCATGTCTTGTATTGTTTGCGTTGATGTGGCTGACTATCTTATCATCTTCATAAGCAATTGTGAATGCCAACAGTTTGCAGTGCTAAAACATTTTTTTGTTCACTTTGTACACTGTATAGTGTATGTACCTTGTTAATCTTTAACGAGTGTACAGATTAATCCATTGAAAAGTCTTCAGTCAGTTTAGACATCATATGAAGTATGGACTGTTGAGTATTGAGTGTTGAGTAATCATGAGATGTTCTAATAAAACAAAGAACATTATGTGAATCTACTGATTAGGATTTTAAAATGCTACATTGGAGCAATTAACTATGTACAATGTATATATATTGAACTGTATAACATATCCACCAAATTGTTATACAGTTGTCCTTAAATGGCAAATAATTCATACTTTAAAATCCAGAAAATCATCATGTGAAGATGCAAACTTTTTGCTACTTATATTTACATGTATACCAGCACAAACAATCCAATCGATTCAAAGATATCAACTATCATAATATAAAAGTTGTACTAAGTAAGTCGAACAGATACATATTACAGATATACTGCGGTATGTACAATTAGTGGATGATGCTTCAATTCCCAGCTTAAATGTTTTAACAAAAAATACATAGGAAATAGCATAATCAGATTCAATTAAACGAATCCAAGCAATTAACACCAGCGATGTTATATCCTCAAGCAAATTGTAAAGCCCCCAGAAAAAAACCCTAGGTTGTCAGTTCATTGTCCAGTATTTTGGTTCAACAAATAAGTTCACTGGCTCACTGTGCTCACCAGACTGTGACCTTAGAATTTTGGGTACTTGAATGATATATTGACAGTAGTTTCTTTCCTTCCTGTAGTTCAAAATGCTGTGTTCTTCCAATTAGATCAATCACTGTCAGTTTCATCAAGTCAGAGTGTTTGTCTCCTAACTGGTATTGCACGTCTTGGAGACTCTACCAAATCTCGAGACCACTGTTGTCTTGGTTGCTCCTGGTCCCCAAGATCTTCATTTTCCGTATTTTCCGTATTTTTCTGCTTCCTCTTTTTCTTCACTAACATCAACAGTAGCATCACTGCAATCATTGAGATAACCATCCCCACGGTCATGAACAAATATTTTCTTCTGTTCTCTTTGTTTCTGACCCGACCTGACTTCTTCGAGATTATCTGCGTGCAGGGTCGAGGTTTTGCGTCCTCAGAACAAACTAAAGTTTGTGTTGATGTGTAGTTAAGACTTTTTACTCCGTAACCCTGGTCGCATTGTATATCTACTTGGTATCCTGGAAGAACAAAGGGGAAATTTTCTTTGTTTCTCAAAATTCCACGAGGAGTGGAGAACTGGGAAAGTGGACAAGACTTTCTTTCTTGTTGATAGATATCGGGATCTCTAAACGATATTCCATGGAGTGATTTGTCCGAATAGCCGAAACCTTCTGTGAAAAGTATGAAAAAGAAGTCTGATCCCTTCTCGCCCCCAGATATTGAGAAGATTGAGTGCACTTCCTGGTCTGTTCCATGAAAACTTGATGGTTCCATTTTTATGAAAACTAATTGCGAATCCTCTTGTTTCGGCAAAATTGTTCGACATTTTGATAATATTGCCATATTTAATCTGGCCTCGGCCTCGGCCTCGAGAACAAGAACATCTAGACACAAGTCCAACTCATCTGCTGGAGAGATTTGATAAAGATCGCTTCCCTCCACTTTAAAATCTTCATGAATTGTCTCTTTCAGTACCCATTTGCTTCCTTCCACACAAGATTTCCATATCAAATGGTAGCTGATATCATCTCCTGTCTTTAAGGATTTACCTTTCGCCAGACAAGTAATCTGTACCTTTGCTTTTTCAATCAGAAACCCAACCTTGTCCCGGCTGAGCTGCAATATTTCTGGTATACCTGCTCCCAAAGTATTCATCTTTGATTGTTCCATGCAATACTTGTGGAGTGTAAATGGATCCCCTTTCTCAACGTCACGGTCAGCCAAGAGGGAATGTTTGTTGAATAAGGAACAAGTACTGCTCACAATTTGAAAGGAGAGCTCCATGCAATTTAAAGTGTATTTGCAATACAGCCAGCATTGTAGTGATCCTGTTGTACTGAAGGTGTTTATAAGACCTTTCGTGGGGTTTTTCACCAGGTCAGTCCTAAGGCACTCTATAACATCAGACACTTCATTATTTGCTGGTGTGGAAACATTTGGCGGCGAAGTATATGACACTTCTGAATCATTCATCCAAGCTTGAACTGTTATCACTTTTACAAGGAATGTGACCACAAGTGCGATCGGCATATCTGCAAAAATTACATTTAGTATCACCAAGAATCTGAAATACCTTAACTACGAAAGTTTAATTCGAAAAAACTTTGTTTTTAAATTTTTGCAGAAGACTGATCGACTCGTTGGGAATTGTTTTCGGATTATTTCTGTTTTTTATTGCTTTTCATACAATTCATACCTTAATTTGATTTTGAAACCACTCATAGATGTTCGTTTTAAATCACACATCAAAATGTAATCTTAACCGACATCTCTGGTTCTTTTAATGTTACTGGTTCTTTAATGTTACTGGGCTTTTCTGCAGCATTATATGAGTAAATGAGTGTAATGGCCTTTTCACTGCGAAAATATTTGTCCTAGTCCGGATTTTTACGATAATATTCGTGCCTCTGAAAATGTTTATAGAAAGTTATGGTACAAGACTTTATTCGGATACCGCAACATTATAAATTAAGCTCTCGACCGTGTTATAGCAGCAATGATTTATAACGAATATAATAAATATTATCGATGACTTTGTCAGTCTGCAAAGAACAACACTAAATAAAAAAAGATCTTTTGAAACATCGAGTCTCCCCATTATTATATATAGTGATATTTTCAAAGCTCCTGACGCAAAAACCTTTGTCTTCACCAGCATGTCTTAGTCATGTGACCAGTCATGTGACCAGTCATGTGACCAGTCATGTGACCAGTCATGTGACCAGTCATGTGACCAAGAGAAGCATAAAGGGTTTCACTTGATGCGATATTTTGCGAAAAGCACTCAGAATAGTGGTCCATTCAAACATTTAATGTATTGGTGAGTTGAGATATTTGCCAATTGTGTATTTTCCATTAATATGGTATGTGCAGTGAGGCGGCAGATCTACATTTTCAATAGAGCTATAAATAGTCCTTAAATACCTATAATGTCCGTTTGCCGATACTGACTCGTCACTCGTAATACTAATGTACAAGTAATGAATTGAGACGTGATTGTTTTACACAGCAATCCACATATTTAGGTCACGTGATAAACAAACTCCTCCCCTTGAATTACCTGGTCCCGTTTAATGGAATCTAAAGTCTAATCCCAACAAAGCACTAATATTGGTAATCTTGTTTTGCTCTTATGAGTGGGTCAATCATTTATTTTTAATTGTAGTTGACGAAATGAGAGTCTCCACTCAGTGTGTTAAAACATAATTCTTTGTCGACGTTTCGGCTACATGCCTTTGTCATAAACAGGACGTACTGAAAACTTACATAGCTGCAAAAATACAATGTTAAAATAATCTATTAATACTACGAAAATAACAACAACAAATAACATCTTAAAACACAACAACGATCACAAATTCTTCCAAAAGAAACATAAAATATAACTGCTAAAAGAAACCACACCGCAACAAGCCGTGAACAATTCCTCATAGTACTACAAACATTTTACCAAGATAGCTCCTTCATAAAACTAAGTAATCAAAAATTATCTAGGTTTATAAGTTCAATATTACATTAACTTCCAAGTATATTTTATCCAATCACCTTCATTTACGGACTCAGACAATTGAGTATTTATTTCTGGGTTTTCACGTTTTATTAGAACCGACTGCCACAATTGACGGTCCACATAGTCTTTACATCTTTTTCGAACTATAAACCGAAACGGTATGTTTGGTATTGAAATGTCTGCATGCTCCTCTAGGTAGTGCTTCCCCATGGCCGTAGATTTATTGCCATCCCTTACTGATTTGTAGTGTTCCCAGGCTCTACTTCTTTTAAACCTACCAGTTTCCCCAATGTAGGACTTATTACATATTTGGCATATTGATTGGTAGCAAATGTTTTTGATCATGCAGGATTTATCGCACTGATAGCATTTGCTGTCACTTTGTTTATTGCATTTTGTTTGCCCTAGGCTAGATCTTGTTAAAGCTTCCATGAGACGTTGTCCTGATGTGAATGTTACCCTGGTGGAATCCAAGAGGTTTTGATTTCTTAGGGTATAGTAGACTTTTCGACACGTCTGTTCATTTATATAAGGTAATGATAAGTAAGCTATTTTTGAGTTCTTTTTAGGCGCATTTTGTTTATCCAGTGTATTCTGTGTTTCTCGAATAAGTTTCTTGACAATATTAGGAGGGAAACTATTCTTCTTTAGCATATCTGCTATTCTGTTGATACTGAGATCTTGTAGTTCAGGTGTGGAGCTGTTATTGATAGCCCTTCTGATCTCATTTTTGGCTGAGTTCAGAATCGTTCTACGAGGGTGAGCAGAGGCATAATTTAGGAATATGTCCTGGCTGGTTGGTTTAACAAATAAGGAAAAATCTAACCTCTTGTCCACTGTATTCATAAAGATGTTCAGGTCCAAAAATGCAACACAATCTTTGGAGCACTCATATGTGAACTGTATATCCCTGTTCAACGAGTTAATGTAGTTAAACAGCAATAGTACTGTGTCTTCATCTCCCTCGATTATGCTGAAGCAGTCGTCTACATATCTATCCCACATATCTATGATTGGGAGTCCTACTGGTTTGGGGGGAGCTTCTGGTATGTAGGAATAGTCGTTCTCTATCAGAGGCAATTCGATTGTACAGTAAACATAGATTATTGCAAAAGGTGGAGCTGGTTTCACACCCATGCCGAGTCCATTTAGTTGTTGGTAGAACTTTGAATCAAATCTGAAGTATCCTGCCTGTATGACTGATTTGAGGACCAAGTCAAAGTCCCCGAGGTCCATTCCATTTGTATCGATTTTATCCCTGTTGTTTTTTATGAACTTTATGATAACTTTGTGTCCTTCTACAAGTGGGACATTTGTGTAGAGGCTTTTCACATCAGCCGTGAACATTATGTGGTTTGTGTTTATTCTTCCCATCCAATGATCTTCTAATTTTTGCCGAAATTGAGGAGTGTTCTTAGTGTTAACGGGAACCAAGTCTAGTGCTTGGTTAAGTATATTGGTAACAAAATGACCTAGTCTTTCCGCTGGTGAATCTACTTGGGATGTGACAGGTCGCAAGGGTGGCGGTGAAATATCTTTGTGTGTTTTCCATGTACAATAAAACTCTGGTATACGAGGAAGATATGGATTACAATGTTCTCCGATCCAAGGATATTTTTGTGTAAGTGAAATTATCAAGCCATCTATATCTGTGTTCATGCGAGGAAGAGGATTTTTGGGCAGTTGTTTGTATGTACGAGTATCAGATAGCATTTCCTCTACCTTCTTAATGTAGAAAGTTTTATCTGAGATCACGAACTGTTTATCTTTATCAGCTACTTTGATTACAATGTCGTCCCTAGCTCTCAGCTTTTTAACTATCTTCTGTTGTTGGTCAATAGTTTTCAGAGTGGTGTGGTGTTGTTTCTTTCCTAGGGCCTTGTCATAATCCAATATAACTGCGGCTTTCACTGCCTGGAGAACGTGTTCTTTGGCTGGGTTATTAATTTGTTGAGGCTGAAATTTGAAATCTTCTGGTTTTCTTAGAAAAAGCGGCTTGTTAGTTTCGTCAACTACAATTAAAAATAATGCACTAATATCTTCAAATATATAATAATAATTAATTGAATTTTCATATAAGAACAACAATTTAACAAAGATTAAAATATTTTTCAGTATGAGTCACCTCCGTCCAACTATACTCAGCTACATTGATCGGGCAGAACAACTGAAGAAGGTGCTAAGCAGTAAGTATCTAATAATTTGAAACATAATTATAACATTATATCATCGAGAAAAGACAATTTATTACACAATATTATATACATCCGAATAAATAGTATTCAACTAAATTTGGCGCTAGATGATAATTGATAACATCAGAGTTCAGACATACTATCATGAATATTCTTTAATGGAGTAAGAGAGTAAGTGCAATGTGCATATATGCTATCAGCTAGCTGGTATATAATGGTCCACCTGACCACACTGTCACTCTAATTGGCACAATTGGCAAAAGCACCCAGGCGCCGTTATAATATTATAACGGTATAATCTGTCCAAACCTAGGATGCACTACATGAAGAATTCGTTATAACTTTGTTCGAAAAGCGGTTCTTTTGCAATAGTCAAAACGCGACAACTAGCGCTGGATGGCGACAACTAGCGCTATCCAGCGCCAGTTGTAGCCATCCAGCGCTAGTTGTCGCTATCCAGCGCTGGATAACGCTGGCCAGCGCAAAATATATATGTTCGATAATTGTCGCTATCCAGCGCTAGTTGTCGCCATCCAGCGCTAGTTGTCGCCATCCAGCGCTAGTTGTCGCTATCCAGCGCTAGTTGTCGCTGGCTATGCGACACTGTCGCACGCGATAGTTTGCGATGGCCAGCGTAACTGGCCATCGCAGAAAACAGTTCGATAACTAGCGCTGGATAGCGACAACTAGCGCTGGATAGCGACAACTAGCGCTGGCCAGCGCTGGCCAGCGCTAAGCGATAGCCAGCGCTGGCCAGCGCTGGCCATCGATATCCAGCGCAAAATTTTTGCGCTATTACTCGTCAGCTAGCGCTAACCAGCGCTGGCCAGCGCTGGCCAGCGCTAGCTGACGAGTAATATCGCAACTATATTGCGCTGGCCAGCGCTGGCTGACGAGTAATACTAATATCGAGCGTGCTAAATCACTCTACAGTCGATCTTCGAGATTGTTCTAAAAGGGCCCCCGATGGTTGTGTCCAACTTCAATCGATGTATTTTCGGACGCTAATTCCGAATCAACCCCCATGGGCCCATGACATAGGGTTAAAATGCTCTCCTGACGAGATATTGGCGAAAAACTGTACATGTATCGATCACGTGATATGACCGTATAAGGAAGTTAGTCTAATTTCTCGTTATTGTTAGGGTTTCAGCATATGTTTTTGTTAAGGATTGGGTTAGGGTTAGGGTTGGGATCAGATTAGAGGGTTGGGGTTTCGAAAAGTCGTTCAGAACCAGCTAGAGTCAGAGAATGGGTTAAAAAAGGCACGTGACAGTCAAGTGTAAAGTGATTAATCATCATCCGAGTAATATCGCAAGTATATGATTTTGATACATTGCGCTGGCTAGCGCTGGTTACCGCTGGCTAGCGCTGGCTAACGCTGGCTAGCGCTGGCTAGCGCTGGCTAGCGCTGGATAGCGACAACTATCGCTGGCTAGCGCTGGCCAGCGCTGGCTAGCGCTGGATAGCGACAACTAGCGCTGGCTAGCGCTGGCCAGCGCTAGCTGACGAGTAATAGCGCAAAAATTTTGCGCTGGATATCGATGGCCAGCGCTGGCCAGCGCTGGCTATCGCTTAGCGCTGGCCAGCGCTAGTTGTCGCTATCCAGCGCTAGTTGTCGCTATCCAGCGCTAGTTATCGAACTGTTTTCTGCGATGGCCAGTTGCGCTGGCCATCGCAAACTATCGCGTGCGACAGTGTCGCATAGCCAGCGACAACTAGCGCTGGATAGCGACAACTAGCGCTGGATGGCGACAACTAGCGCTGGATGGCGACAACTAGCGCTGGATAGCGACAATTATCGAACATATATATTTTGCGCTGGCCAGCGTTATCCAGCGCTGGATAGCGACAACTAGTGCTGGATGGCGACAACTAGCGCTGGATAGCGCTAGTTGTCGCCATCCAGCGCTAGTTGTCGCGTTTTGACTATCGCAAAAGAACCCGAAAAGCATTAATACAGGGTTATGCAAAAAAATGTTGGATTTTGAATGGTTATAATTTCGGAGACAAATACAAATTTCACTCCATTTTTGCATATTCAGTTCATAAAATGATGTCCATGCTACCGTAAATAAACCATACATCTCGAACTGTTGATTCCTTAAGATGTAATTATAAAAAGGCATCATGTAGCCGGTGGGCCCGACATGATACGACATATCTCGACACGTCGGGGTCTGTCGGGATATGTCGGGGTTTGTCGGGGTTTGTCGGGGTGTGTCGGGGTTTGTCAGGGTTTGTCGGGTGTGTCGGGGTTTGTCGAGCCTGGAGGTTTTTTTATTTATTTTTATTTTTATTTTTTTAAATTTTTATTTTAATTTTTTCAAATTTTTTTTTGAGTCTCCCAACAAAAAGCCGAGACGGAGTCATCAAGCTTTACGTGGAAAAACACTACACAAGAAGGCATCATGTAGCCGGTGGGCCCGACATGATACGACATATCTCGACACGTCGGGGTTTGTCGGGGTGTGTCGGGGTTTGTCGGGGTTTGTCGAGCCTGGAGGCTACATGATGCCTTATAAAACTTAATCTTACATTTATTATTCTAACTGTTCTAAATCCCCAGTGTCCCCCAAGGTTCAGGGAGGTTCAGCGCAGACAGAGGACAGTGCGCTCATGCGCAACATAGAGTTTCTTATGGAACAGGCTATACTGGGTTTGAATCTTTACTTATGTAATAATAATAATAATAATCTTTACTTATTTGTAAATCATGGCTTTATTTTAAAGTTGTATTAATCTTGGCTAGAAGTTATCGTTTCTTTACTGTCTCTTTAAAAAGTATATAAGATGAACGGTTTAACCTTAAAATTTAAGTAATTCACTCACATCATTTTATTAACCGCGTGCAATGTTACAAGGTTGAAATACACCCGTTTAAATTAATCACGATGTTAATTTAAATATAACAACACATAACATAACAACACATAACAAGCTACTAATAATCCCAGAGGATGAAGCTGGTCACACCCTTACCGCTCTGGAAAGGTACAAGGATACTGCTCAACTCTGTCTTCGATCGGTAAGCCATTTCAAAACATAAATGTACAGTAAAACCCCGATTTACCGCGGAGTTTGGGGTAAATCGGAGTATGCGGGAAATCGGGGTTTTACTGTACACTGTATCCACGAATCAATTACTTGCTTATTGGATTTATAGTAAACTTCCGGTAAAATTTACGATTATTATTATTAAAAGATGAAATCTTAATAAGTAACATTTATTTTAACAGTCTCTTTTAATTTGGAGTTCCTCTGTGCAGTGGACACTGGACAGTTTTAAAAGTAAGCACTAAATAAGCAAGAAATTTGGCAGTTGGCCAAACTTCTGTACTTATCGTAAAACAAGTACAGCAGCATTAGAATAAGTACAAAATTCAAATCTTCATAATGCCAAACTAAATAAAAGTATGTATGTACTATGTATCGTACTAAGCAACTTTGTTTCTTCTTTAAAGTTCAATTGCATTATACTCACTTCAACTGAGTTATAAACTGAAAGTTGAAAGTTCTCCTCCGTTTCATTACTCCTGATTTCCTTCACCATTCATAACAGTTAAAAAAAACGAAGTATTCTGTTGTGTTCCGGAAGGTTTTGTATTTTCATCAGACCCACCTACTTTATCACTTACTCCAGAAAATCCTCGCAACTTCCCTGAAACCCCTGCAACCCTAGCTTTGATAAACTGTCTGAAACTAGGAATAGTATTGCTGTATATAAAGAAATTACAGCAATAGTTCAGCATATTCAGTGACTCAAACGTTCTGAACGCAGTTGGGCTGCTCCCTTCATTAATAACCCTCACAACTATAATAAAAAGGTTATAAGGAATGTTAGAGATCCCGTACACTGCTGCTGTGGCTATCACAGTCACCATACCCTGCCACCTTATATCCCCTCCACTTTGTTTAGCTGCTTTTCTCGCGTGCAGTAGGTAAACTATTATACAAATAGTTGCCACAATTAGGATTAGAGTTGGAATATAAACTGCTAGTACTGAGAACAGATAGATAATGATCTTGTCAGCTTTGGAATACTCAGAGGACAGCCCAAAGTTCATGTTATATTCAATATAGGAGAAAACAAGTCCGTATTCATCAAAATACACACGAGCCGCAGGAATAACAACTGCAAGCACCCAGGCAGATGCAACACACGTGATATGTGCATGTGTTGTTGTCCAGCTTCTAGCGCTGACAGGAAACTTCAGTAGCAGCACTTTGCTACTGACAAGCGTGCAAATCAGCATGTTGTTGGCTATAACACTACTGAAGTTCAGGTACACGTGGATGTAGGCTACTGCCTCTCCTAGGACCCATTTGTTGGCAATGAGGGATACCATGGTGGGGAGCACGATGGTTAAGGAAGCTAGGATATCACAAACTGCAATATGTTGCATTATGACGACTAAGAACTTGTTTAGTTTTATCGCGTTGTATTTTACTGAAGCTATTAGAATGATGGAGTCTCCAATTAGTGAGGATAGAAGCACGATCATCAGCCAGGTGATCCAGAGACACCTTTCTCCAGTGCTGTGAAGTCCATACTCAGTGTAGTTGGTGGAGGTGACCATTCTGCTATCTAAAAAAGAATGATAAAGCCAATATCTATAATTATCGAATTAGCACTATGCAAGGGGAAGAAATATGCAAGATAAATCAGTAAAAACCCAACGAAATATCAATGCAGCAATAAAAATAGCTCAAAAAGTAAAAATGTAACAAATAAAATGGAACACTCCGAGAATTTACTGGATAGGTACTCAAAGTTAAGTTTGGGACTAGACAATCAATTTGGGCTAGTGAAATATTGAACAACGCCCAAAAAGTCTCCAATCGGTGACGATAGAAGCACGATCATCAGATAGGTGACCCAGAGACACCTTTCTCCAGTGCTGTGAAGTCCTTACTCAGTGTAGTTGGTAGTGTTAGATCCTGGAAAAATGAAGGCCAATCAAGAAAATTTGCTTAGAATTAACATAATTTTCAAGCATGTGCATAAACGCCCCTCAAGTAGTAGTAATGATTATTATTATCAAGATATAGCAATCAATAATATAGCAATCAGTACATATTAAATCAGTACACATTAAATATGACACATTAAATATGCAGGTACCACCCGTATTCACACTCAGACCTGAGTTTAGTTATTTTCCGATACGAGATTGGGGACGGGTTCTATAAACAAACAAACAACAAACAAATATGGCACCTTCATGAGCCCAGCTAATACTTATTACTCATGTGGTGAGCCACATTATATGTAGACCCAACATTTCTAACCAGTGCAGCTGTATGCATAATTAAACAGATGGAATGCGTTGCAAACCTACACTGAGCTAGTACCATCAGCTACTGTCATTGCTCTTGTAATATCAAAGTTTGTCTAAGGTGAATCTTCATCTGTTGTAAATATAATTTATATAATATATTAAATATAATAATTGCGTTTTCTACAAATAAGATGATCAAAGAAAATTCAATAGAAATCAAATGAAATTGAAAGATTTTGCAGGATACTAAGCGCTGATGCGGAAATGCTTTACAAAAAATGACACTAAGAGAATGTTGCGACAAATAATTAATATGCTAACCCAGAAATAGTGATGTAATCTATTTTGTATTACCGTATACAGGCTGATCTAAAATCGATCATCGCAGTATTTATATCTTAATTTCCTTAGACATTATTTTCTGGGGGCTGCCTTACATAGAGTTTCTAGTTTTCTGACATTTTTATTTCAACTTCAAAAAAATGAAGCCGGGTATAAAACAGTACTAACATTTTAACAAATGTAGCAAATATGCCATGCGACAAACCATAAGTTATGTCACAAGCAAAATATTATGTTTAATCGTGATTTGCTGCTACTTTTTTATAAACACAGTACTGTAAATTATGCCAATGAAAATTGTTATATCTTAACCTCACATGTTACGAACAACCCCCCCCCCCCCCCCCCCCCCCCTTACACCAATCTGAAGCTAGATTTGAGAAATATTGCTCCACTGTAGAGTGTAGTGGCAAGATTAAAAAGGATTCACCGTAGATAATGTTTCATGTTTTCACGGATATCAATTGCATCCGAAGGGTGAATGTCAGCTTCAATTGGATCGATAGCTAACGCGGGAGGCACACCGCCCTAATACCAAAATTATGACAATATATTAAGCACAGATGATACTGGAGATAAATTAATACCAACATTATGACAATATAAGCACAGATGATATTGGAGATAAGTTATCGTATTAATCTGTATACTAATTATAATTTATCTATTTAATTATAATTGAATACCAGAGATCTGTCCAGCAGCTGATAGGCACAACTCGATAAACATTTTGATTTTCTTGCTGTGGCACCCATTTTACCTACATTTCATCAAGGCCACGTCAAAGACATCTAATAGGGTCTCCCCGGTGCATATTGAGTAGTACTTGGGACAGTATTGCAGAGTTAAAAGAAATGCATCTTTTTTGGGGTGTTTTTGGCAGACGCAACATATAAGTGCAGTGGGTGCTGAATAGCACTGTTATCCTGATACCGCATTTTTCCTCGACATCAAAAAGCAAGTATTACTTTTAAAAATGAGGAAAAACAAGCATAGAACAAAAAGGTATTCCCAGACAGATTATTATTAATGGATGTTATTAGATGGCAAGTAATACTATGGATAATTGAGATAAAAACGAAAGAGGGTGAATCTTGGCAACTGAATAACTGAAGCTGGATCGCAAACCCTCAACAGATTGAAATTGAGTCACTTAATTGTTACGTGAACATGATATAATTTGCAAGCACTTTATACACACATAGAATGTTACATCTTGAATTCTCAGGAAACTCGGTGTTATACATTAATCCTACATTAAGTTATTTGATGCTAAATAATCGTACAATGTAACGTTATATAATACTAAGATAGTACGCTGTTGAATAATCCAACCTGAGACTGAATATCTGACAAATTGTTCAACTTAATCGTGGTGTTGTTTCCTCTAAATTTGCCGCACATAAAACAATTTTAGGCAGGTACCGGGAACGGGATCGCACTAACATTAAAATGTTGCATCTGGTTTTTGGTGACCAAAACTAACGACTACTACGATAGCTACAGTTGTGTAGTGGGGGGGGGGGGGGGTGTCACCCCTTCCTGTAGTTATTGTTAGTTATCACTGCAAATTCCATCGACAATTAAAAGATTAAGCTGGCAAAAAGAAATCTAATAATAAACACACTGTTTTTAGCAATGTCTACTACAAAACTACCTGATTCAATAACCGTAACTAGACACTTGTAACAGTTGTAACAGTTGTATCGGGAAGGAGTAAGTGGTTTTCTGCTCTTGTGATGCACAGTATAGTAATAGTACTATGTTTTACAGTATGATCTACCGTGCATTTAGCCACTTAACTGATTGGCTTCCTGGAACTGTAGCTGTTTTTGTTGCTCTATTAGAGAGATTAGGCAGGAAAACAAGGTCCATTTATTATTTACAAATTGTTCATAGGTTGTCAGATCACTGGATAACTGTTCTAAGTTATGGGGAAGTATCAATGTAACACTGTTACATCAATGTAACATTGGTATTATAATTATATGATGTTAACAACGGAACTGATCAACAAGGGGAACAACCAGTTTTTATGCAGAAAAGTTACGAAATCGTAGGTTTATTATTAACATGTATCTCACTGAAGATGTCAGAATGATAAAAGTCTCCGTTCAGTTCGTATTGAAGCATGACTTTGATAACAGCGGGAGATAACAGACAAACGCCAGACAGATATTAGGTAGATTACTGATAGTCACTACCCAACAGCTCAACGTTGAGTTTAAAACAACCTGACAGTTATTATTATATAGCAGCAACGAATGAAACGTTGTGTCGTCACGAGCAGTGATTTATTTGACAATGTACCACACATCTACAGATTACAAATTTTCAAGGGACCGAGAGTGCCCATTGTCATGACAATATACGACAAACTATGACAATATACGACAATACATGA